CACTTTCCGAGCCCCGTTATTAAGTAAGCTTTAAGTGTTCTTAAGTGAGCCCTCATTTTCAGTTTTTCCTATTTACTAATGACTAGTATTCTCTTTTATTTAACTACGGTCACAGGTGAGATGATGCATGATCCTTACATCCATTCTTTATTTCTTCTTCCTAAAATTTTTATCTATAAATGTATAAAATACGATAACTTTTTCTTTGTTCTTTTTTTCTGGGGAATTTAGTGAGTTTTTTCCTTTAGACAATAAAGATTAAAGTTCCTTGTAAAAACAGGTGTTTTCACAGGTTTCCTAGTCCCTTAGGACACAGTATTCCTTGGCCCCTCGCAAACCATCTCACGGTTCTCCTCATGTTGCCCCACTGAGGTTGGGAAATTCTGGCTTCTCTCTTTTCATGAGCAGCGAAGAGCCTCTTGTCAGGTGAAGCAGAGACTGAGCCAAGAGTTGAACCAGAGGCTGCTGAGTCCTCTGCATTAAGACCATCGCTTCTCTTTATCTGTTAATGTATTTATTCACTACTCCTCGGAAAGTTAAGCTTTGTATACATGTATAGCAGGAAACAGCTACTGTGCCTTACACAGTTTATTTTTTCTATCCTTACACAATTTATGTTTTCTATCTTCTTTGTCTGGAACGCAGGGGCATTTCAAGCAGTGGAGTACGTCTGGTTTACTTCAAATATATCACTCTGAATTTATGCTGATCTTGAAGCTCTGACAGCAGTCTTTACCTCCACAGGACTGACCAGAGCAGTAAGGGGAGTAAGAGGAAAGTTCAGCAAAGAGTCACTGCCCAAGGATCCCGACACAGGGGCTAGGAAAGCCAAAGCCTACCTGGAGATGGATTTGGTGAGGGACGTGAAGGGCAACCAGAAACCTTTCCGCAAGTGTAGTGGCAGCAGCAGAAAGTCTAGGGAAAATGTGGTCCCGCTGCGGAATGGTGGCAGGGACCTGGTGACAAATGACATGGAAAAGGCCAAGGTACTTGGTGCCTTCATTGCCTCGGTCCTTACTGGTAAGACTGGCTTTCAGGAATCCCAGGCCTTTGAGACCAGAGGGGAAGTCTGGAGCAAGGCTTACCCTCAGTGGAGGAGGAGAAGGTTAGGGAATATTTAAACAGAGTGGGCAGACACAACGCGGGCTCTGACGGGGTGCACCTACGAGTGCTGAAGGAGCTGGCTGATGTCCTTGTGAGACCACTCTTGATTATCTTTTGAAAGGTTGTGGTGTCTGGGGGAGGTTCCTGAGAACTAGAAGAAAGCAAATGTCACTCCTATCTTCAAGAAGGAGGATCCAGGGAACTACAAGCTGGTCAGCCTCGCCTCAGTCCCTGCGTACATGATGGAGTAAATCCTGGAAACAGTTTCCTTGACCAGCCTTCTATGATGAGATGACTAGCTCGGTGGATGAGGGGAGAGCCGTGAATATGATTCATCTTGACTTTAGCAAGATTTTCAGCACTGTCTCCCCTAACATTCACAACTACAAGCTGCTGAGAATGAGCTAGACAAATAGAAAGTCAGGTAGACTGAAAACTGGTTGAACTGCTGGGCTTAAAGGGCTCTGATTGGAACTGCTGGGCTCTAAAGTCTTGTGATCAGTGGCACAAAGTCCGTCTGGAGGACGATCTAGCCTGGCTGTCCCACCTTGCCATCTCTAAGATGCATGGGCACAGGGCATCAGTGCTGTCCTGGGACAGCTTGAACTCAGCTGTCCACAGACGTCCAGTGCTCTTACGGCATGTGAGCCATGAGTGTCTGTCTCAGAACGATGCTGCGGTCCTATGACGTTGCTCCAGAAGTCGGTAGGTTGTAGGAAGGTAGGCAAGGCAGATTCTGCAAGTCCAGGTCCTACATGTGGCAGATAGGTTTGTGTGGGGTCTGCGCTAAGGCAACACAGTTTTCTTTCTGTATGCTGTTGGTGAGTAATGGCCTTGAGCGTAGGCTCTGAGCCTGCACTAGCAATAAAGTGTACAGAGAGGCTTTCTGCCCGTATCCCTCTTCTGGGGCTGTGTGGAGGAAGGAAGCATGAAAAGCTGCACTACAGGCTAAATTTATGGGGAAGTGTTAGCTTAAAGTATCTTCCCAGTGCCTGTATCCATTCCTTAAGATGTGAAATTCTCTGAAGTCTGGCTGACTTACTCCTCCAGATCAGTCCTTTGCTTGCTTGAACTCCAGTGGCATATAAATAATCCCATTAACATTTATTGCTTCTGCAGCCTACTATGAGCTCTCTGAGTTTTGTCATTAATTCTTTTAGGTACAATATGCCAAGCAAGCAAGAAACAGTCTTCACAAGGGAATTGCCTAAACTGAGGCATTCTGAACAGCACAAAATAAGAAACTGTCAGGTGATCCATCTCCTGTTATAATTTAAAGGAGATTCGAGGTCTAGGACATTGTTACCCTTGTTCCCTCCAAGGATGATCTGGTTGATGCTTGCCTGAGGGACACATTGCATACAGAGGGATTCCCTGTGTTGCCAAGTCTGAATCTGTTCATTGTAGTGTTGCAATAGTAGACAAGCACTCTCCCTCATTTAGTGCTACTAATCTCTGGAGAACAGGACACCTTTGCTTTACTAGCTGCCCAAGAATCACTTTCAAAACTAGATAATTTTTTTTCTTAAAAAGGAAAAAAAAATCCTATTGTAGGTAATACATTCCAGTTCCCTGAGTTTTTCTTAAATGTGTGTTACATTCTAGTGGCCTTTGACGCTGCTTTGGCCTGAAAAATACTTCCTAAGCTTCCTTTAGTGCAATCAAACTACAAAGGTGTTTCACACAGCTGCCCAGAAGCAGAAATCACTCCTTCAACAAGCTCTATGCTCAGGCATGTCTTACCTAAAATGGATCCTGACTTGGAGTAAAATAATTATCGACCTGTTGTATGGATTCAGGATTGGAGCTTCTTCCCGTTCATTCACATGCCTTGTTCAGTGAAAACTTTATCTCATGGCTTAACTCACATCTGACTGTTTCAGCAACGTGCTGTGAAGACACCTTTAGATTATATTTCTTAGATGGATGAGCCTGAGTGAAGGTTTGCACCTAGTTTACTGTAAATAACTTACATTACCTCTACCTGGCACACAGACAAGTGCAAATTCGCTACACAAGTCTATACATGGACAAAATAGTTGCAGCTCCTTACGAGATCTTGATAGCGTCTTGGTGTGGTGACCGCGCACAGGACGGTGTGATCCCTAAACGTGATTTGTGGGGTGACTGTGCTACCTTCAGTATGGGCTCATTTGTTCTTTTTGGCCACAGTTCCTCTCATCTGCTGTTGTGGGGAGAGGATCATTCAGGGTGAGTGGACCTTAATGATTCCTTTATTAAATGGTCTCTTTGGCATGTCCAAAACCCTTTCCTGAGGTTCAGTATTTGGAAGGAACCAGGAAATGTAGTTCGGACTAGATTTCCAGCTCTTAACTTAGTGTACTAGCAAGCAATTTTCATCAGGTTGCGGGAGCGTACCATTGCTGTGAGATGTTTAAAAACATACCGGGTAAATACTCTTCCGTGTGTGCTGGGAGGCAAAGAGAGCTAGATCAGGGAAACTTTGTCCTTGACATTGGTACAATTGTGTTTTGTAGTACTGGAAAAGCAAATGATAACATGCTTGAAACAAGAAAACAGCATCTGGAGAAGTAAGAGAAAAAGCACTTAGAAAATAAGTTTGAAAAACACACTTTTTGTAAGCTGATTGCAAATAGGTAGTCAAGGCAGCCAAGGAGGACCAGGGGAAAAAAGCAGATGGGCAGGCCATGAGGACATGCCACTTAGCACATCATTTGACATGAATTACACTCAGCATATTATCTTTAAAGACTTTGTAAGGAAAGGACAAAAATCTTGCCTGACAATTTATCTCGGATATAAAGAAATCCATGTCCTATACGTTAACAAAAAACTGAATAAGGTTAGAACCAAGTGAATGTGGTTTTTGTTTTGATGTGAGTGGCCAGGTGATTTCTTGAAGAGAGACCCATAAGCTGAAGCAGACGTTCCTGGGAAAGCAAGAGAATCACCTGAGGAAACTGGTTCTTCCTTGACAAGGTGATGTCCGTGTGGGGTAATCTTCAAAGTAGGTGCAAGCCCCTGCTTCATAGATGGGAATTCCTGACATGAGACAGCAAATTCCACATTTGGGTCTGGAAGGATGACACTTCACCAGCATAGAAAAACTTTGACCATAGGCATCTGCTTTATTTAGTAGTTCTTTGGGTTGTTAAACTGTTACCATGTTCAGCCCCACTGTCTTCAGAATTGTGGCACTGAAAGGTCATCCAGGAACTAGAAATAGACCTGTGACAAAATTGAGGAACAATTTTGGTTCCTATGTGCAACATCAGTAGATCATCACTCACTAGAGCGTCTCCATTGACAGGGTTTTGGTGACTAGTTAGTCTACCAGAAGGAGCCAGGTAATTCCTGTAGCTAGACTGACTCTACAGCCTTAATAGTCTACAGCTCTCCGTTACCAAAGTGCCTAAGAATGTTCGTTTACCTTTGATTTTCAGACACTATATAGAATTAGGCTTACATTTTAGCACTTTCATATGCCTCTTGCTGCACTGAAGCCTCACTAAGCTAACACCTTCTGAGTCCTTGTTGCATCTTACCTATATATTGTCCGTTGATCTGTCAACACATCTGAGGGCAATCCAGTAGTTTTCTTCACAGGAAACGCTAGGCATTTTTTCACAGGAACACATGCACTTACACACACAGACGTGTGTAGCCATGGAATGAAATGAAGTTCTTGCAGTGGAGCATCTTGTTGCGATTGTGGTCCTGAAGGAGGGAGGATCTCTGCTTCTCCAAAGATCCTCTACTGCATTCTGAAACTACCACCTGAGGGAAAGCTCCTTTAGCAAAAATCTTCTGAAACTAAACAAAAAAGGTCATAAAATCCAAACCCTTGGGCCTTGTGATTGTTATTCAGCTGCATTGAGCTAGGGACCTCACTACTACTGTTTCTGCTTTTGCAGGATTCCCAGCAGGAGAACTGCAAAAGCCTTTCTTTTGGGGAGCAGAGTATCCTAGGTAAGTACTGCACCAGGGAACCCCGTACACCTGGAAATGAGGAATAACAGGGAAAGGTATTGGAAAGACATATAGACAAAGACGAGGGCATGGAGAAGAAGTCTACGCTGCTGAAGATGACCAACAGGTAGTGCAGAGGAATACTGTGTTGTCCTTCTGTAGGGAAACCTTGGCCCTTGGGTTGTGTGTTCTTCTCTGCTGCGTCCTGCTTTTACTATTGGAAAAACAGACTTTGAAAAGTGCTGCTTTGTGCAATAACTTTTCTTACCCTTGGGAGCTGTATGTGTTGCTCTCGTCTTAAACTGATGACTGATTTCTCACAGGAATTGCTAATTAAGTGCACCTGAGTGGAAGAGTTTCAATGCTGTAGCATGCAGATGCAGCAGTGTGCACATGGCAGGTATTAAAAGGAATTGTAAATCAGGTAGCTAACACTTCCTGAACAGAAGTGAATACCCTGAGAAGCCATTTATTATCAGTTTATTGTTCACTTTCTGCTAATATCTAAGATTAACAGTGGGCCTTTGCCTGTGCCTGTTGAGGTGCTTGAGAGTATCTCCATATGCATAAATGATTGCCTGAGCAGGCCCATGTGCTGCTGTAGCTGAGGAAGAGTAATTATAGGTCACATATATTTAATTTTGAAAAATCACTGCTTTTGTGCAATTCAATATCTTTCTATTTTAGGGCAGGGTAAGACCGTGAAAAGTTTCTGACAGCAGTTTCTGAAAGTTATTTTGCAGTTATATAAAGCCAGTTACAGATGAAAGATATCCTTAATAAATCTTTGTTAAAAAAAAAAAATCAAACTTTTTGAATATTTTGGGTTTGCCATCTTCCAATCTGGATGTGTCCTCGTAACAGGAAATTTGGCAATACATGTAGAGAGACACATTCAATTTAGGAACAAATAAATTTGCATTCAAAGAGAATTCTTATGAGCCAAGTGACTTTCTAAGTGGTAATTCGGGATAGAAGAAAGTCCTTTCTTGTTAAGGTGAACTTATTTTCTGCTGTGGTTATTGCAGACCTGTTTCCAGCTTTGCTTTCTGAAGAGATTTCTCTGTACCCTGACCTTCTGCCATAGCGATAAAATTGTGGCTCTTTCAAAGAATTATACTTTGCTCATTTCTCTTCTTTAAAGGTTACCTTAGCTTAAATTGGTTTTGCTTGAGTACGTATCAAAATGAAATTTAGTAAACAAATGTAGCTGGTTTATATCAGACAACAGATTGCTTTTGTCCTTGAAATATTCTGGATCTGTCTTCTGTCTGCTTAAAAGAAACAGTACATGGCACTGAAACAGAAAAATCATCAAAAAGTCATCAGCACTTGCTGGAAAACTGATTTAGCAAATATTTAACATTTAGTGGCGTTTTAGTGTCCAGTTCCAGCATAACCACTACAGAACAGTTGCATCTATTTGCATGAAGGGAAGCTAAATTATCACTTCACATCTCAGTACGAGAAATAAAATACCATTCAAATAGCACCATTCATTGTTACGAGTCTTCAGTGCCAGATATATTGAAATAGAGACTTCAGACTACCTGAGTTGGTGGCTTCCTTACAGTCCTCTGAGCCTCCCCAGTCCCAGAATGTTCCCCTTTAATCTGGTACCCTTTGGGCTGCACCTAATGCCCTCCATCTCCATCCAGCTGTGCCCCAGAAGTGAAGAGCTGGGAGCATTTCTGGCAAAATTATTGTTGAGCTGGACAAAATGCTGAAGGGGGTTTACAGAAGCAAGGGCCAAAATTCACCCCAAACTTCATCTCCTCTTTTGGAGCTGGGGAAGGCCCTAGGAGTGCCCAGGCACCAGCCTGTTCTTTGTCCCTGCCACTCATGGTGATCAAGAACCTTAGAGGAAAAATAAGATGTATTTAGTAATAGGGCTTATTGGTTCCTCTTGATCTCTTTACATGTTTTGTGCCATTCTTTTTATACTTCTCCAGCCGCAAAAAAATCCTGTATAACCCCTTTACTTCAGATGTGGAAAACAAGTCTAATATAGTACATTTAGTATGGGTAATTATCACTGTGTGCTACACAAGATTACAAATTTGTCACACCAAAGGATGATATTTCCATTGCAGAAATGTATAATTTTAACCAGTGTTTTTTAGTGAAGGTTTGCAATAGTACTTGGGGGGGAAAAACAGTAGGGAAGATTTTATCATATGCAAATTACCTTTCAGGAAAGAAAAAAACAAAGTGAAGAATTGTCATGGGAGCAGGGGGAATTAAATGATATAATACTTTTTGGGCATAACTGAGATGAGCAATTAGTGTGCTATGGATCATTAGGTCCAGTAATAACATGTTACTTCAAACCTCTGCCTTTCTCCTATTTCAATACAATGTGTTAGAAATACTATAAGCTACTTTGAAGTATGGCATCTCAATAACTGAAATAATTAAAATCACAAAGAACAACTTAATGAATGAAAGATGCATTTAGTAGATCACTTCCCCCTCCCCCCCCCGATATCCACTGCATTTGATATAAAAAGCCCTGAACCTTTTCCTCTTTCATCCCTATTTCTCCCAGATGCATTTTGTTTATTTGGATATAATGAGGAAAATACAATTAGTTGTCAATCAGGAATATGAAATATTTCTTTCTAATCTGTTTCTCCAGTGCATTAGATCTGACTGTAGATCATGTCCTATGCCTGGGCAAGTGCAAGGCAATTGTATGACCTCTTTTTTAAAACAGAAGGGAGATCTGTTTAATGCTTTTCAAATGAGAGTCAGTCATTCGCAAGTCTGTTTGTTGCATGCCAGTGAAGAATGATTGAAGCTGGCATTACGGAAGCCCATTGCAACCTTTCATCTATCCTTTTTTCATGATGACTCTAAGAGAATAATTTCACCTATAACTTTGTCCCGTTTGCAGTTAGAATATACACAACGCAGTCAGCTGAAGGAGACATTCTGGAGCTCCTATGCTAATAAGGGATTTGGTTAGAAGAGTGAACCATCACAATGCTTTCTAAAGTTTTATATGAAAGGTTGCTTTTAAACAAATAGGAGTTTAACATTCAGACTTCCAACAACTTTAAGTCAAAATTGTGCAGGTATGATTTTTAGAGCCATTCCCCCCCCCAGTTTAAATAAATAATGATCTTTCTTGAGGTCTTCAGTCCTTTAATGTTCATGAGTGTGGAGACTTTCTAAGGAAACTGCTTCTTTGTGTTGCAGGTCATTAAGCTACGGTGCCATAGGAGTAATTGTTGGGCATGAGTTTACTCATGGATTTGATAGCAATGGTGAGTATTCTTCTATAGGTTGATAACTTTTCTTTTTTTAACAGAGTTGACAGATTAGAAAGCTGACTTGTATGCGCTTTAGCTTTTCTATTGGTTTGGGTTTTAACAATGCTGAATTGCATGAAAAAAATTATAAAGTTCCATTTTTTAATTTATTTACATGCAATCTTGCTTGTCTGAACCAGAATTTTTTTGGTAAGGAATGCCACAAGTTTGACGCTTTCTGGTTTTTGAATGGAAACTAAATCAGCAACAGATTCAGAAAGTCCTGGCTGGGAGGGAGTGGGAAGGGCAAAGGGATAACTTCTGATTGATAAAAATGACTTCCAAGAAAACTTTTCATTTCAGTTTTGACTTTTTTCAAAAGACAATTACTTACAAATACTAAAATACAACACTGGAACAGAAAACTTATTGCAAAATATTAAAAAAAAAAAAGAAGAAAGAAATGGTCTGAGAATGTCAAACCAACTGTCCTGAAAAACTGGGTGGAGATGGGCATTACCACCATCTCACTTGGCCATCTCAGTAAAGTGCTTTTTAAAATCAGGCTCCTGAGAGAGAAAAGCAGTGAGGGGCAAGACAGTGAGAAACATGAAACTCTTCCTCCAGGGAGCAATTCTGAGCATCTGACTGACCTCCCGCTCTGACTCACTGTCTAGAGAAACCTTTTTCCACTGAAAATACAGAATGTTGAAGGAAAAGCAAGCTTCTGGCTCACTGCCTAACTGAAGTTAGGTTGCTTATGTTGCGTTACTTTGAATACCTTTTAAAAAATAAAAGGAAAACCTTGTATTCTGTTGGCACTGCTCTGCAACATTTTGTGTCAGCAAACACTCCGGAATGGAGAAGCTTTTCTTCACAAACTCCCATCTCATTTTTCGGAGAGTATCTAATCTCCATCATGTCTGCAGGCAGTCAGAGAGGAACCTAAGATTTCATTCCCGAAGCAGACCACTACCTCTTGCCCAGGCTCTTACCTTCCAAATATAGAAATCAGTACCTCTCTAGGGAATTTGTCATCTTGAACAAGACAACACACAGGGAAAATATAAAGAAATAAAAAGATGAAAGAAAACATCTGCAGTACTTGGTATTGTGTCTCCTGGTTGCTCCCTACCTCTTTCCTGCAGGCGTAATGAAGAATCAAATCACAGAGCAAGGCTGCATCCCCATGGGCAGCTAAACCTGCTCTCAAAAAAAGCCCTAACACGTCTTGTGTCTGACTGGCTGGAGACGTGATGGAGATTAGACGCTCTCCTACAGATGAGGTGGAGCAGGGACCTGAGGCTGAATCTTCCACCAGCCGTTGCTGCAACCGTCAGCCTGGGGAATGGGATGAATGTATTCTCCTTGCTTCCATGAATAGGGTTCAAATGTTCTGGTTGTGCTCCAAGGCGAAAAATGGAAACTTCAGAAGTTTCCATGAAATGGATTTTTTTCTTTCTGGTCAAGCATATAATTAATTAATAATAAATTAGTTACCATCATGTCTGCAGAATCAAAGACATATAGGCTGAGGATGAAAAATACTCATAATTATTCTTACAAGAAATCTCATATGCCTCTTGCACTACGTAATTATAAAATGTACTATAGAACTCATTAGTCGTTACTATTTTTTTCTGAAAATGGAAATTATGACAATAAATAGAATGCCAGCTTTTCACCACTGACTTGAGCGGGGTCAAGATTTCGCTCACTGATCTTATCCATTTTATACACACGCTTGTATGAGTACATTCACCTCTCATTTCTGTGCAGGTGATTAGATTCCAAAACTGAAAAAGTGTGGGGTTTTCTCCTACATAAACATTTGTTTTCTTTCTTTTTTAAGGTCGGAAATATGACAAAAATGGAAATTTAGACCCTTGGTGGACAACTGACTCTGAAGAAAAATTTAAAGAGAAAACAAAATGCATGATTAATCAATACAGCAATTACTACTGGAAGAGAGCTGGCTTACATGTATGTAAATCACCAGTGATTGAAAGCAGTGGTGCATTAGGAGTTTTGGGGGTTTTTTTTTAGAGTTGTCTTTTTATAAATCCCAACATATTGGGATATTAGGCTACCAACTTCATTTCTCACAACAAATCATTTTTTGAAGTGAATAATTGTGATAAAAATTGTCTGTCAGATTTGATTAGTCCAGTCAAATACCAGTACCCACACCTTGGTGATGGGGTTAAACTACTTCTCCTCATCACATCATTTTGGAATCAGGGGAAGAGGATGAAGCCACACAGCAGGGCTGGTCTAATTACTGTGAGCATGTTAAATGTCTTCTGAAGATGAGCTCCCTAATGGAAACTGAGCAGTCACTCTTTTTAAAAAGAAGAATATAATAGCATGTTTTATAGATTCCTTTAGCAATTCCACCTGTTATTTATTACAGCTATAAAATGGATGCATAAACCCTACTTTATTTCAGATTCAACTCTTGCTATTTCTTCCATGTGTGCACACAGACCCAATTTGTATCTCAAATGAAGGGAGTATGATAGCAGTAGCTCATGGAAAAGGATTGAGAAAGAAAGTGCAAGGGAATGGTTTCTGTTTCATCATTTATCAGAGCTATGAGCTTCCCTGAAAACGTGCACATTATGTAAGTGTCCAAAATGAAGGATAAATAGGATAAATCCCAGACCTTCAGAAATCAATAGCTAAAATTCCAGTAACGTTGGCTGGGACATGATTTTAATCTTAATTTTCAGGATAAAATACATAACCCAGCCCCTACTCAATTCTAGCACCTCTACTTATATTTTAGAATCAGAAATGCAATTATGTCTTTGTCTTTTAAGAACAGAGACATCACATTGAATGCTTAGAAATAACTTTAACACTTTCCCCAGGCTGTTTGTATTCATCTTAGAGATAAAAAAGCCATATTGTAGTCCAGTCTGAAGTCCAACAACTCAGACTTGAAGTCCTTCATCTAAGCTATTTTACAAATAAAAATTCTCAGGCTCATTCCTGAATATCTGTAGGACAAAAACTGTCAATACAAAAATAACACTTAAAGAAGGTCATTAAAACCTTCCCCAAGGATGTGGCTGTGCCCTTCCCATGCTCCTGCCATTGTCTCGGCCATCCCTTTTATCTTCTGTGGTGTCTCTTGACATGGGGTAGAGCTGAAATTTTCCCTCCGGTGTAACTACTGCCTTTGAAGTCTGTGGATGGGCTTACTGGAGAGATCCTGGTACTCACAGCCTTGTCATCCACAAGGCTTTTTCCTCCTATTTCCGTGGGATGACTTAAAGCACTTTTTAGATGATAGAAGAAGAATCTTCATATTTTCTGCCATATTTTATAGCCTATGTATGAAGAGCTATGCATGCAAAAAGAGCTTTATTTTGCCTGTCATTTACATCAATATTCTGCAGGTTTTTTACCCTGTATGAATATTTTTCGTGGATCGAGAAGCCTATTTACTCTTCTTCTTTCTCGTCTGGTTTACAATAAAAATGTCTCCAGAAAAGAAGTGTAATGAAAGAAAAAGTGGATAGAGAAGTAGCTTCAAAGTGTGGTAATCACATAAAGTCATCTGATCAAATAAAGGGCTTATCGTGGTCCCTGAGCCCCGTCACGAACTGTCTGCACAGACTAGTCTCAGATCCCTGACCGGAGCTGCCTGTGATCAGTGGAAAGACTTCTTCCACTTATTAAAATGACCTATGGCCCAAGTGCCCTGCTAGGTTACTCTCATCTTATGCTCTAAATCAGTCTACTTCGCCAGCCCACTGCAATAAAAATGTATGAGTAGGTAGACCAGAAAAACCAGGCAGCCGGTGCGTGTGCATGTTCCCTGGCGTCCCAGCACCTTTTCTCCTAAAAGCCTCTCCCCCACCTCCGTCTCCAGCCTCCAGAGGGGAGGGAGGGCTGGAAGGAAAGGGCTGCGCCTTCCTCTGCTGCTCCCGTTTCTCCTTTTTTACACCCTCGGGTGTAACTTTGGACCCAAGGCATCAAGCAAGATGCCCCGAGTCCAGTCGGGGTGCTCGTCTGCACTGAGTGGTGGGGCTGTCTGCAGGTACCTGGGTATCCCTGAGGTCCTTTTACCTCTTCTCCCCCATTTCCCCCTCTTTTACTGTCCTGAAAAGAAGGTGAGATGACGCACTCATCCCCGTGGCACGGAAGAGCCCGTCGCTGGAGGATCCGCAGGTCAGCATTGACCTTCAGGGCCCTGCTCAAAACTGTCCTCGATTACCTTGCTTATTCGAAGCGTAGGGAGCAAAACCGCTTAATTACAAATACAGTTTGGGAACACTAAGACCTTAGCAGGCTGGGCGATCAGCGATAATGCTGCACTTGCAGAAATGAGGATTTCTTCACAATGATATTGCACTTGGTAATACCAGGAGACTGGCTTTTTCACAAAGTTTAGATAGCGCTGCTTCTCGCAATATGTTCTTGTTGCTCTTGCTCTTGGAATCGATACCGGGGAAAAGCAACGTGAATCTCCTTTGCAGGTATTTTTAGAGCACTGAATATGCTATCAATTTCAATTCTGTCTCTGACAGTTGTTTTTAATTACGCTGGTTTATGTTATCACTTAAAAGTTATTTTTGCATCCCAGGAGTATATTAAGAGTTATGTACAGAAACAAATGTAACCTTTTAGATAAAAGTTTAAGAAAGGGGCTACTGGATCTCACATGTAACCAGATAAAAACAGTCTTCAGGGGAAAATTATTGAGGCTTAGATCAAAGATCAGGGACTGGATTCTTGAGTGCATTTTATCTACTATATTTTGTGCTACAGAGATCTAGGACAAGAGCCAGGATAACTTATCACGGAGAATTGTTTACTGAAAGTTTTCACATTGAAAAACAGTTTTCTTAACCAGAGATATGATGCTTGAAATTGGCTGAGGTCATTGTCACCTTGTTTTATTTTTCCCCCTGTTTCTTGAAGTTGATCAAGAAGGAAGTTCAGAAATGGATCAAATGACTGATGTTCTTTCATTCTGCCAGGTGAAAGGCAAGAGGACTTTGGCAGAAAACATTGCAGATAATGGAGGTTTGCGAGAGGCTTTCAGGGTAAGTAGATGAAAAATATCTGAAATGTAGTATTATTAAAAAAAAAAAAAAGAAAAGACAAGAAATAGCTGTGATCAGGCTCCGTGTTGCTGAAAGGCACTTAGTATCTCTTTCTTATCAGGCATACAGGAGATGGATTACAGAAAAGAGGGGAGGAGAAGAAGAGCCTTTACTGCCAGGCCTTGAGTTCACACACAACCAGCTTTTCTTTCTGAGTTATGCCCACGTGAGTAGTACAAATGTGTTTCAAGCCCACATCTGTTAACCTGCACAACGTGCGGTGCAGAGATGAGACTGCTTTGTTTCAACAATCTACACCAGCCAAACCCAGACTTTTCAGGGTATAAGCAGAAACTTCTTCTCCCAGGACTATTAATTTTTTTTCTGTTTTCCTCTTTGTCCTCATCTGTCCATGGTGCCAGAACTGCTGAAATTATTCTTGGTTCTGCAGTGTTGTCACAGCAGCTTACTTTCCTCTTGCTGCTTCCCTCCACTACGAGGGTCTTCTTGCATGTATTGATTCCTTAGCTTCTTTCCATTTTAGCTTCCTAGATTTCTGGTCCTTGCAATACGCAGCAGTTTCTGACTGCTTCCACCACAGACTCCTGTTGCAGAGGTACCACCACAATTTGTTACCAAGCGTGTTCAAGGAAACCAGGCAGCAGTGAAGAAAATCTTTGTTTATTTTTTCCTATCTTTCTTTGCTGTACACTAAATAAGCTGTAGCAAAACTTTGTTAGGGGATGTGAGTTTTTTAGAAAAACATGTAGAACAAGGGAGAGAATCAGAAATTATTTATTTGGTTAAAAGAGTTGGGACAAACTCCCCATATGAGAAGTAAAAGTTGGGCTATAAAACTTTGCCCACCAGCTGAAGGAATGAATCATCTAAAACTGAAGAAACAGGATCCAACGCAACCAACCCTGGCTGAAAATCATTTCTCTACTGAGAATCGGTGTAGCAGCATATGGGTCAATGGCCATTTCAGTTTGACAGTATTGACTAAGGAAAAGACTCCACTTTGGTCATTTATGCTGAGTTGAGTTTCACGCTGTGATGGTTTTTGTCCAAGAAAGCTTTGAAGCCGTAGGGAAGATCTGGGGGTCTTACAGGACCGCTGCAGGAATCGTGTGTCCAGTGGACCCTCTGAGGGGAGGCACAGGCACAGTGAGAGCAGTGTATGCCAGGTACCCGTGAGTTCAGCCTATTTCCACAGAGCTCAAGACACTCAACAGACTCATTCAAACTGCCAGGGCTGTCTTCAGCTGGACAAACTTGCACTACAGTCCACATATCCTATGGGCAGTCTGGCTTAAAGGATTTTGTCAATAGGAAACATTCAACACAGGAGTTAGGCAAGGTAGAGGCTGCTTAAATGAGATTTTTCATGCAATGGATGCAGCATAAGAGGGATTATTCAGCTGTGCAAATATTTTTCTCTACCCTGTTTTGTGGTCAGTTACAACTGGGTTGAGTATCATATTAGGAATAGTGAATTGGGGACCACTGATGGAAACTTGATAGCTGTGTCATTTCAAAAGAAATAATCATTCCAACATGGAAAAAATATGTCAGGTAATATAGCTGCAATTCTACAGATGATAAGCATCATTACATGTACCTTTTATACACATTACTTAGCTTTGAAACCAAGAAGTATGCTTGGTAAGTATTAAGGCGTGAGATGCTGCAGCACAAGCTGAAAAGCAAGCTACCATCATAGAGAACTTCAAAAAAAGAACTAGTAAAGTGGTTATGATTAGATGATGGGAATGAGTGGGTGGAGAGTAACAGTGGGTGGAGACTGGATCCATTAAAGCATTTGAAAAACAAGAGAATATACCAACAAAAAACTGCAAGTTAGCAAAGGTGAAACAAAAGAGGAGTTTGCTGCATCTTTCCATTTTGTGAATTCTGTAAGTAATAGGCATCCTAAGAACAGTGACATTACATGCTGCTTTACTTATGAAGTCATCCCAGATAACGTGCCTATTTCTGCTTTTTATCTTTTATTAGGTAAGATGCAACTCCTTTAGACCAGAATCTGCGAGAGAGCAAATATATATTGGAGCTCACAGCCCTCCTCAGTTCAGGTAGTGCAAATAATGTATTTACTCAGTATACATCAATCACTGCAGCACACAAGTGCAGAAATTTAGCATGTTAAGAGGGGTTTCAGAGCAAACAGAAAATTGGACTGTGCTCTTGGCTTGGATTGAAATTGAACTGGTTTTATTAGCTTACCTTTCGCTCTTACAAATGCTCTTCTGTAAAAACAAGGGGTTTGCCTCTACCTTCAAAGCGGCTGAACCAGAACACACTCTGATCCCTGTGATGTCCTGTAATCATGGCCTGAGTATCTAAAATGCCTCATCTACCACTTTTTTTTTCCCCTATGCAATTCTAGTTTAGAAAACAGTGACTATTAGGAGGCTCCTTGATTTAATCTTCCTGAGGTCATTAAAAGCTTTAAAGTGAGTACCTTGAATTATATTGATAACACAAAGCAAAACATGCCCTGTAGGTTCAGTTTGAGATTAAACTCTACAGTTGGCCTTCAAGAAACACTTTGCTCGAAGGAGCTGTGGTAGTCCCGCCGTAACAGAGTGTTTGTGTCTGTGCCCAAAAGGTGTCCCCCAGGCTCCCCTAACCACAGACACCCATGAACCCCAAGAAGGAGAAGCTGGAGAAGGGGGGAAATTTAAAGACTACCTAAGAATTAGGAAGCCAGAGTTTATTTCTCTGCTTCTCCACAGAGTTTGTGTGACCAAGAGCAAGTTGTTTCTGTTGGGATTCACGTCGGTTGCATTTACTTCGCTAAGAATTGTGTGTTTGTCCTCAGTCAAGTGCTACATTACCTCTATACTTGGGGGAAGGATGTTAACTCCACAAGCTGATTCATAGTGGAGGTGTCTCCGATACACTGGATTAGTTGCCTTCTGGAGATTCCTACCGCTTTCTTTTGACTAAAGAGGAAGCTGGGATCTCACCTTCTCCATGGCCAAATTGAGGTGATATGAGCCCCCTTTGCCTCAGTTCTCTCTGGGTGAAGTGAAAAATAGCAACGCTGGCTTCCCAGGGGAGCTGTGGTGTTCCTTCACAGACACTCGGACATGTTCCCTGGACGCAGCCACGCCAAAGCTGAAGATACAAACATGGCATGCATTAACACACCTTGGGCTACTTATAACCAGAATGGGTTAAGAAATAATGGAGCTGGAAACAGGATGACACAAACTGAATATAAGCTAGCGTTGCAGATGTGTCTGCTTGGTCTTGGTAGGCTTCTATACTCTGGATTGAAATCTGCGCTACTCGACCTTTGCAATACCTGTTACACCAGCTAGCGAGGGTAAAACTAGTGCAGCATGCAAATCTGCATGCCTTTTAACAATTGAAAATACATCATGGCGATGAGGACAGGACTGTCAGGCTGATCTTCAGCCTATAGAGTGATTTTTTTTATAATTCCTACCCTTGTTAAGATTTTGGTAAAATAACCATCTCTTGACTTCTAAAGTCCTCAGATTTATATACCTATATGTATATTTATATATTCTGAATCATTACATAGCTACATTCCCATGAGATGGTGCAAATCCCAAAATGTACAGGGAAGCCTGGGGATAGTGTATTCATGAGGAAAACTCATGAAGGAATCAGGCTAAGAAAGAAAATTCCAGAGAAGATTAGAGGAATTTGGGGTCTAGAAAATACAGACAAAACTTTTTCTTAGCTTTTATCTGAGATATTCAGAACAGGCTTCTGTTTCAGACCTAAAGAGAAACTGTGGTGGTTATCTCTTCTTGCAAATCATATCAACTGGGCTAACAAATTATATTATCTATTTCTCCCAACTTTGCTTCCTTTATGTCCCAAGACCATTATGAGTATAACAGCAGTACACCTAGTTTCAACATTGACAGCTCTTGCTATCCAAAAAGCCCAAACAGCCTTTTTAAAAGTAATTATAAAAAGTAACTATAAAAGAAGATAGAAATGAGCAACACACATCCTGAGCATAGGTGTGTGTATCTGAGTTAGTCACCTCGGGTTCTCTTCACAAAGAAAAATAGGCATTTTGAAAGTGTGTGTGTGTGTGTATGTATAAAATATCCTTCTGTAAATAATAAATTTAGATGACTTAGATTCTGCAAATACATCTTTCTATTGACTGCCAAGGGAGCCCAGGGTGACCTGTTCAGATGAAGGTGTCTCTCCTGTAGTTCAATGGGATGAAATCCAGACAGCCCACTCTGATTCCACAGTTAATGTGTGGCAATATCAAACCATGGGTAGAAAGTCACGTGCATGGACACATAAAGATCTTTCACTGGCTAGGTTCTGGTTTTATTTATTTTTAATTGGCAGATTTTCAGTATTAGCATGTGTCTTTGCTATTTCTGAATGCTGGTTTCAGAGTGAAATCCCTGGCATGGCAGGCAGAACTCCCACCAACTTCAGCAGCAGTTCTGCATGACCAGCTCTTGCTGTTCAGTCCCTGAATGTATATTTGCAATGTTTTTAAGGTAAAGCTGTATATCTTACTTGAAGCCTAACCTCATTTTGTATTTCTCCCTACAAAACTGACCTTTAGACATTTTTGCGCCAGCTGAGTGCAAATTTTCTTACCCACAGAAAGTCTAATCAATGTAATAAGAATGTTTTCTACCACGCTGAGCTATGCTGAGAAGCTGATTGTCTGTAATGGAGAAAAATGCCTTCCCACTGCATAACAAAGAGGGAGGAAAGGCATACAGTTAATATCTCAGTAGATACTTTTCTGCTTTTAACTCAGGATGCTGTTTACTTCAATACCATTGCAAATTTCAGGTTAGTAAATTCCAAGATGCTTAAAAGCATAGGAAAAATCAGCAGACAACACAGTCCCAGTCTAGCAATGGTAAAATAATAATTTCTGACAGCATGAAATAATACAGACATGGAAGCAGGAGTCAAGGATGACTGCATACAAAGAGCGAGCTATTTCCAACAGATCAGAGGAGATGAGATGCTCGCAGGTGTAAGGCAGAGGTGGCCGGTGAGAGAAGCTCTGCCTGGGGTCCTCCCCCCCGCTTCAGGCTGCGAAGCCCCCAGGAGCCCACTTGCACACGTGTGTGTGTACGTGGGTGGGCAGAGGGGGGTGTTCGAAGAATCTGGCTGGAATGAGCCAAAACAACCCACTTCCAGCACAGCCGGGATGGGTTCCTCCATCCTCCCAACCGCTGGATGGGCTGCAGCGGGTTGGCAGGGGCTGGAAGAAGGATTCCACCACGCCAGGCTACCGCTGATCTCCCCCCTTGGCTGCCAAGGGTCGGTTTAGAAAGGTGTTCTAAATGACATAGGAGCCACAAAATGCGGTGGTTTTTCGCTGAGTTTCTAGCAAAGATGCTTCTCAAAGCACTGAATGAAACAAGATTGTCTTCACGTTAACTTTAAATGGGAGTGGTTCTCCTGAACTTTTTGGTTTTATTTGTGGAAAAATGACAGGGAGAGCCTGAAAACTCAACCTGAAGTGAACACACCGAAACGCTTACAGGTCTGTAGTGTTTAACAGAAGACAAGCTGCATGTTGATCGTTTTTCTCTTTGCAGAGTTATCGGTGCCATGAGCAACTTTGAAGAGTTCCGTAAAGCGTTCAATTGCCCAACGAACACGACGATGAACCGAGGGGCAGAATCCTGCCGGCTGTGGTAGACGTCCCTTCCAGGTCTTCCGTCCAGAGGGGTCTGCAATACGGACTGCTGCGCCCGAGCTCACGCCCACCGCTAGAGTTTGGAGCAACGTTCTGCAACCTGGAGGGGTGTCACTTCAAATGCATCTTCCTCACCCATGCTGATGACCCGCATGGATCTAATCACTCTCTACTCAGAGCCTAGAAACATTCGAAATAGAAGAGAATAGGTTTTCTTTAACAATAGTAACAGAAAAGGAACTCCTTTTATCCATAGAACTGCTCCTGCTCATCTGCAGTTGTACTGCTGTTGATGGATACGTGCCATTATCAATTCTAATTCCTGATTTATAGTTGAGCAAGAGGTAAATGCTAAAATCCAGTTTTAATCTATTGCTCTGCAGGGGTGCTATGCAGAATGCTCCCCCACAAAATTTATTCTTTCTGGATGAAGAAATTCATGACACCTGCTATAAAGCCAGCTCTGATCTGCTGTGTGATACAGCTTTTTCATAGCTTAAACTGTCACTGCCCAGCATGCCATAAATGATGTTGCATGATGTAAAGACACAAGACTTTATATAAATTCGGTTTAATATGTCAGATTAGTGCCTCAGGTTTTGGAACAGTTTCAAGCTGAGAAAGCACCTCATGGTTTCCATCTGCTAGGACTAAACAGAAAGGATACTTGTCAGATCATGGCCTCTTCTAATTTTAGAACAGCTTATGATAAAAATCTATGTATGGTGAAAATCAGAGGCTTGCAGAGGGAATTCCCAGCAGCCACAGTATTACGACACTTATTCCTGTTTACAGTGTGGGCAGTTTTTTTCCCAAGGGGGGTGATTTTTACCTTGTGCTGAAGGTAGCTTCACCTACCTCTATTTTTAAGCCTGAAATACTATACCAATTTTAATTTAGGGATTTCTTAGTGCCTGGGTCTTACAGGAGAATGTAAGTAGTGTGCATGTTTGTCCTCACGTTCTGGACAGGGCAGGGTGACTTGTGATTTTAAGGAAAGAAAAATATGTGACTGAAAAACAGAGTACCAGCAGCATTTGACTTGTCTGGATAAAAAGAGCGATTCAAGAGTAGAGGACTTTTAAATACAGTATGCATGCAGGCCAGGTGAGTTTTTCATTTGGTTTCTAACAATATTAATAAAAAACATATTTTATTGCAGCAGAAAAACTTTAACACATAACTATTACTGGGGGGGCGGGGGGGCAGAACAGACCAGCCCGTTCTTCCCCAACAGAAAGATAGATATTTAACTGGTATTTATTTATACCTGGTGCATTAATTCATTCTTACATGGTGGAATTGTTTCAAATGGAGAGAGAGTTTCTTTAGACTGATTTAATTAGTGCAAATCTATATATGTCTCTGTGTGTATATACTTTTTAATATATATATATACAAAAAATATATAAATTCTTCTATTTGCTTAAATTTTATTTTATCAGTATAGAAATGTTAGTAAGATAAACTTTTGTTACAAGGATTGGTCAAATATTGTCCAATAGTCAAGGTGGAGGAAGGCTCAACTGCAGCTAAGTTTTTGCAAATGAGGGTAGTTTCCTATGCTTCTTTATAAAGAAGGGGGACATCATGGAAACATAATTTATGGAAGGAAACAGGCCCTGAAGCTGCCTTCCAGAGAGAAGGAAGCAGACACTCCTGAACTCAAGGCACTCTTGCCACTTCTTAGAAACAAAATATATGTTGTGGGACCAGGACTTTCTTTTTTCAATTTTTCCCTGAAAAAGTCAAAGTTTTCTTAAGAGGAAAAGCACTTTTGCTTCCTTCAAGCCAGCTCTATTCCTGAGTTCCATGGATTACAGTTTGTCATTTGAATTGCCACTACTAAATTTTTTTCCTGGAGATACTTTTCACATAAACTGTGATGGCAGTATTTTCACAGAGACTTTCCTCAAACAAGCAGGTATGGGTCTTGAGCAAAGCGATACCGTTTGCCTGCTAATGGGAAAGTTCCTTAGCAAACGGGATACTGTACTGAATTCATTCCTGTGCTCATATGAGCACTGACACGACTTGACGTTGGCTGCTTTGGATCAACAGCACGAAGTTCAGGGGTGACATCCTGGCCCCATTAAAGGTAGTACCAATAGGGTCGTCGTCCTCAGAAAAGTCAGGACATCAACTCAAACACTTACCTAAGCTTTCTAAATTACTGGACTATGCAAAGCCAGTTTCACAACAGTCATCTTTAAGTTTTCTGATTTTATCTCTCAGATCAGAGATGCATTTGCAAGAGCTCCTCTCTCATGGCTATTTTCCAGTGGGACAGATTCTGTCATTTTTTGGTTTATGGGGTTGTTTCTCTGTACTGGATAGCAATTTCTTCTAAAATGCCTGATGTCTGCTGCCTTAAATGTCACTCTTGTTGCTCCCTTCGTGTTTAATACCAAGGATTTTTGAACTGTGGTATGCATATTCCCAACAGCACAGGAACCACTGCAAAACTGTTTCATCCTTGCTAGGGCATCTCCTGCAGCAGGGATGGGGGCACTGGGAGGGAGGAAGAGAGAGCATCACCAGGTTTTGTACCCTGATTTTACCAGTTGGGATGGGACCTACATGCTGCCAGAAAAGCCAGAAGTCCTTGCTGCTGACTGGCACGTTCATTGGTAGCATCCCCGTTCGGCGAAGCTTTGCTGCTGATTCGGGTTTTCAGTGCCTTGGTCTCGTACATGCCCGCGGGAGGTTCCTGGCCTGCCTCACCCGCCTGCTTTTCACCTCAAACTGAACAGCTGATGACGCAATTTACAGTTCACTTTGGAGCCAGGTATTTAGGTACCAGTTGGAAAGCAAAGCAGAAGGTAATCAAACGCGTTCTTGACTCTCGGTCACCAAAGATAGCCAAAACATGGTGATGGTTTCTGAGGGCTCTTCCCGTTGCCTCTTTTATCAGACTCCCCGACCCTGCTTTGTTTTCACGTGGTGCCTCCTGGGTCTATGCTGGCAATGCCTGGCTCTGCTGCTATCAGGCTCACTTATTACATCTATGCAAACAGATCCTTCATTATATATATTCTTCTCCCAGAGCTTTTAAATTGTTGGGTTTTTTAACTGCCAGTAATATTGTGAGATGTTTCTTCCTGTTGGCTTGGTAATCTTCTCTTCTAGTGATCAGGAGGAGAAGGATCACCTATGAATGAAACATTTTTACCTGTCTAAATTTGAAGAGATATTTTTCTACTGTGTAGACATAAAGAAACAACCTCTATTCCTGTCCCATGTCCCCTTCTTTGGGTCCTGAAAACATGTAAACATTCTATTCTATTCTATTCTATTGTATCCTATTGTATCCTATTCTGTCCTATTCTATTCTATTCTATTCTATTCTTCTTTTTCTGTCCCAACCCTGAAAACCCTAAAACACCACCTTATACACTGTGAGTAGTAGTTCTGCTGATCACATTGTGAAAGAGTTAGCTTTACACACGAGTAGCTCTCTGAAAAGGCGGCTGTGCTATTTACCTCTGTAAACTGCTTAGGTACGTAAATGATGTCCAAGCTGGGTCTGGATGCCAAAGGACCAAAAAACCCAGTGCCATTATAAAGCTCTGCCTCATGCCCTGTGCAGGGGGACTTCAGCATTCTTTAGGTAGGAACGCTATTATGACGCTAAATGTTTGAATTATTTATAAAATAATTAGGTGGGTTTATGTATAGCTTTTCATTGAGTATTATTCGACAAATTACAGGCTTAGAAGTATATCTCACAGCAATGTTATATATATATATACATATATATCTGTCTCCAAAGAAATATTAAAATCCTGACAACTCAAGAGGCCATACTATAGTGAGTTAAAAGGGTTTTTGTGTCTATGTCTTTTTAATCCAGATTTTTATTACGCTAGTCAGTCTATTGTACTTTTTAATTTTTCTTCTTGCATAATAGGTTGATTCGCGGTTTTAAAGACAATTGTGTTAGCCAATAAAAGCCAAAGTGATGAAGAATTTTCCTATGCTTGCAGTATGGCAAAAGCTGCTCGGCCAGTCACTGTCCAACTCTACAATGTTACTTCTGTAATATATAGTCTTTATAAAATGTAATAAAGAGTGTAATGACATGGCTCCAGGTTCTCAAGGCTACCGTTACTGCTTGGCAGGCTAAGAAGGACCTCCTCCCTCAGAGGGTCGTCTAGCCACCTCCAGCCAGCGTTTATCAAGCTCCACTTGCCCCCACTGATCTGCTGGAGACAATTCAAATGAACACAGGATGAGCTCGATGCTGCAGCAATTGCAGCAGGGCAGGCGGCAGGGCCGTCCCGACCAGAAGCCGCCGGAGCATAAGAAGGGGTGGGAGAAGACCCACCAGCCTCACTCTTCTCCTCTTGCCCCGGTCCATTCCTGCATCAGCCCATCCTTTGTAGCCTCACCCGCTTTTCCATTGCTGTTTAAGCATTTTCCAGAAGCGTTTTTACCAGGATAACCCTAGCGCCGTGCCCGAGCGCGAGTGGCGTCTCTTCCCAGCCAGCACACAGGACTGGTTTCGCTGCCTTCCCAGTCTCTGGCGTGACGGCAGGTAGCTTATCTTGCTGCTCTTCCTCACCAGGCGCTTCACGAGCCTGACTGAGCACTTGTTCGAGGGCTGCTTGGGCACGGGGACCTTAGTGCCAAGGCCTTACGCATCACCAACTTGGCTCTTCGGGGCTAAGCGCCCAATTTCTTGGGCTCTGACCAGTCTCCTGGCACTGCTTGGGTGCCCGCAAGGAGCGGTGCTGGCCCACCTCAAGGCAGCATGAAGCCCGTGAGCACCGAGGAGCAGTCGTACCCGGTGGGGACGCCGGCTGAAGATGGCCTTGCCGCATCTTTGGAATGATGCTCTGCGGTGACATGGCCTCCCAAAGCCCGTCGCTTTGTGCGGGCATCTCTCCCCACAGCCCTGGGGGTTGGGGTGGCAGGGAGGTTTTGTCCTTGAAAGCCGGCATCACCTTCTTTACGGCACAGCCCTACCGACGTTTCTGCGGGCAAAAGCAAAGGTTTTGCG